TACTACTGATGTGCTGTGCATCCCTAGTAAACATATTTAGTCAGATGGGAGTTTGATTTCTGTATCTGATGTATACAAAAAAGGTTTCTTGGTGAGGTGCAAATACACAGCAAGTTTAAACTAGATAAAGTTTGTCAAGACAAACTTTAAGTTGGCTTGAGAAAGCCTGATCAGAAAGTTGTAAAAGTTTTTAAAATTTTAAAAAGTTTGACGGTTTTCAGTCTGAAATAGTTTGAAGTTTAAAGTAGTTTTAAAGCTTAAAGCTTGAATCTTTTGAAGGCAATACAGCCTGATAGATAGATAGATAGATAGATAGATAGGAAATATTGCATAGAATTGAAGCTTAAATTAGTTCATATGGTTTAATATTGCTAAGGTATTCTGGATGGTTGCTAGGGTGTTGCTATGTGTGTAGATGCCTGACAAACGTTGTTGTTGTTGTGATCATAAACTGTATGGATGAGATTACACGCAATACACAGAGCTTTTCCCTCACCGTTGTAACGCGCTGCTTTTGCAAGGTTCCGTGAAAACGTTTCAGCTTTTATTTTATTTTTTCGCCCTGAAGAAGATATCACAGGTTCATCAAGTTTGTGGAAATGATCCATCCTTGATCACTTTTAGTCAGCTTTGACGAAACTCCTCTCAGCTTGCACGTGAAAGTAGCCTTGTCACCTGACTGGAATACAGCGCGCTGATTCGCTAAAATTGACTAATCGGCTTCTGTTCAAAAACAACAGGGGCGCTTGTCAGCTTCTGCAGTAAAAACGTGAACTCACGATGCCTTGAAAGTAGACAAAACCGGCTTTTTTGACAAAGCTTGAATCTTTTGAAGGCAATACAGCCTGATAGATAGATAGATAGATAGATAGATAGGAAATATTGCATAGAATTGAAGCTTAAATTAGTTCATATGGTTTAATATTGCTAAGGTATTCTGGATGGTTGCTAGGGTGTTGCTATGTGGTTGCTAAGGTACTCTGGGTGGTTGCTAGGGTGTGACTATGCGGTTGCTAGGGTACTTGGGGTGGTTACTAAAGTTTTGCTCTGCGGTTGCTAGGGTATTCTGGGTGGTTGCTAGGTTGTTGCTATGCGGTTGCTAGGGTACTTGGGGTGGTTACTAAAGTGTTGCAATGCAGTTGCTAGGGTATTCTGGGTGGTTGCTAGGTTGTTGCTATGCGGCTGCTATGGTGTACCTGAGGTTGTTGCTAGGGTGTTGCTATGCGGTTGCTAGAGTACTCTGGGTGGTTGCTAGGGTGTTGCTATGTGGTTGCTAGGGTACCTGAGGTGGTTGCTAGGGTGTTTCTATGCGGTTGCTAGGTGCCAAGGGTGGTTGCTAGGGTGTTGCTACGCGGTTGCTAGGGTGTTGCTATGCAGTTGCTAGGGTACTCTGGGCGGTTGCTAGGGTGTTGCTATGCGGTTGCTAGAGTACCTGAGGTGGTTGCTAGGGTGTTGCTATGTGGTTGCTAGGGTACTTGGGGTGGTTGCTAGGATGTTGCCATGTGGTTGCTAGGCTACCTGGAGAGGTTGCTAGGGTGTTGCTATGTGGTTGCTAGGGTACTGAGGGTGGTTGCTAGGTTGGTTTGGCTAGTTGCTAGAGTGTTGCTATAAACATAGATAAATAGATAGCTAGATAGCTAGATAGATAGATATAGACAGCATTTTGATAAAACTGCATCTGCCCAAAATAAAACTTACTTTACTTGCAGGCTAAGACAAGGTGATGTTCTTCTATGAACTCTAGGTGTTGGCCACCGAAAAAAGCAGCAAAAACATGTTTCAGGTTAAATAGCTTGTACCTTTAAACAAAGCAGGGGTCCCCCACAGGACTGTTTCTACAAATAGGGTAGTGTACTTAGTGAACAACACATGCATTTATATGCATTATTATAATTTACCACAAATATGTAAAACATCTGGGATAGGGCCTTCTAATCTGATAAAAATAGAAAATATTCAAATCACTACTTATAACAACCATACCATGAAAGATAAATGACTCACGCAAAGTTATAACAGTTTTGTGTTAATCTTCCCTACAAAATCACCCAGAAATGATGAGTTTGAATGCTGGTCCTGAATCTAAAGTTTTGAATCCCCCTGAACAGTGGCCTGAGGGTAAGGCAAAGCCTGCATTCCTCTTATCAGCTGGACTCTAGCCAAACTGTGGCCATTACGCAGTTTTCTTTCTCTCTTGCCGTGTTTTTCTGTCTCCTTCTGCACAAAAGCATTTAAGACGGCAACATTTGCTGCAACTGAAGCTTTTGAGTGTTTACTGGGTACTGAATGTGCCTACATGAAGCAAAACTATATCAGCTTTTGTTTGGAAGGTCATAGTTTTGATGAGACAATCAATCAATGAGTTCTTATGATTGCACAACTTCATACAGGCACATAAAACGTTCCTAACCTGCCTCCTCACCACCCTTGTCTCATCTTTGTTTCCTTATCTATATTCAGGGCTTCCGGCAAAGGCACAAACAGCCATTATAAAGCTGAAAAGTACCGTATTGACCCTAATATAAGACGATGTTTTTTTCTTGCTATTAGATGGATAGCCTAAATGTCCTAATTCAGATGGGCTACCTGTTTTTTTTTTTTTTTTATGGTATATCAAAAAGTGTATATTTTTTAAATGTGATTGTTGATACATTTTTCCAGTTTTTACCATACTTTCAAAACAAAAATTAAAATATGAAAAATATGCAATATGAAAATAATTGAAGACAAAATGTGTTTTACTGAGAAAAAACAAGATTTGTTTTTTAAAAAGCCTTTTTCCAAAAGGTACATCTGGAAAAAGGGGGGTCGTCTTATAATCAGGGTCGTCTATATTCGGGCCAATACGGTAATAAATCAATTGCAGTGCACAATTCTCTGTTGCTGAAAACCTGTATGAAGGTAAACGACATGGAGAAGCAACTGAACGGCATGTTGACTTACAAACCCCTTATCTCATAAATTCTTAACTGGGAATAGACCATGAAAAACTCTAGCTAATGTTTAACTTGTGAAGTAACCACAGAGGCTTTGTTTTCTCCATGACAAAGGGAGCTATGTCCACTTCACTCACTCCTGAAGATGAAACCACCTCACCTGTCTCATTCAGCCCATATAACGCCATGGGCAACACCATCAAAGAGACTGAATGAAACTAGTGCTATATCTCATCCTGGGCGAGGAACCAATTTACAGGCATAATAGAAAAGGTGATACTCTGAAGGTGATACTCTGAAACAATAGTCTACACACAATTTAAAAGAAGAAAAAATTCAAGCAAGCCATTATCTACTTTTGTAACACCCATGTGGTTATCTAGAGGTAATGAAACTATTGTGATAGACTGGTATCACATCTATTTTGCAGCAAAATTAGATTAAAACGTTGAACAGTCACAGAACTAATTGTTCTCTAGTGCAAATGAATAACAATGAATTATTTAAAAGGGTAGTTCACCAAAAACAATTAAGATTTGATTATCATTTCATAGGCATTTACTCATCCTTATGTTGTTTCAAACATGTATGACTTTCTTTATTCTGTGAAACATAAAAAATATATATATTTTAAAGGAAGTTTCAACTGTTTTTGTCCATATAATGAAAGTCAGTGGGGTCCAATGTTTGTTTTGGACAATGATGACTTTCATTGTATGGACAGAAATATATTGAGACATTTTTTATAGTATCTTCCTTTGTGTTCCACAGAAGAAATAAAGTCATTAAAGCTATATAGAAATGAAAAAAAAAATGACAAAAGTGTGTAATAAAATTACAGAAAAATACACTAAAATAAAAATAAATTTTTTTTTAAAAAAGCTCATTCAAAATATTAATAACTACAATAGCATAGGTATATGGTTAATTCGATATAATTGGGCCATTTTTCCCATTTATCTCAATGGCCAAAAATTTACCTGAATTCACCCTAAAAAAAAAATACTAAAATAACAAGAACAAGAATCTGTGAAAAATATAACATTCTGATAAATGAAATTAATTTGTGACGTTACAAAAAATGCACAGGCCAACTCATCTAGATGCAAAGGGCTTCTCAGACAGATTTGGGCGGCCTGTTTTGGCTAATTCACAACAATGGTAGCTTTGTTTGATAGCAGAAATGGGGAGAGGAACCCATCACTTCCTCAGAGCGCTAGTTTCTCAACCAGCCGCTCCACCACAGAGAGCACAGGGGACACATTCCCGCAGCGACTCTCATGAAGATTCGGCTCCCCATACCTCCCATTCCCAGAGAAGTTTTTTGTTTCCGTCAGTAAAATCAGCCTAAAATAAAGGCCCTGCCTACCCTGTATGCAGCACAGCATTTACAAAAGCTCTGAGAGCAGTTTTGGATGCTGAACGTGGAGAAAATGCGTAAATTGCCTTTCATTCATCAACTGTAAAGGAAGAGGGCAGTCCAACTAAGAATCTGGCAAAGGTGGCCACAGAATTGTGTCATACTGGGCAGTCTAGACTACTTGGCATGCCTCTCGATTAGAGACACAATGAAACTTGAACATGACCTATGGGACTTTCTCAACCCATGGTTCAAAGTCCTACATATATCGGTGTGTGAATGCATGTGGAATAAATGATACAGACTTGGGTGGGGCTGAGCTTATGGCCCTTTCTTAGATGTGTGAAAGAGTTTCAGGCAAAACATGAAGCACAATGAAGAAAATAGAGAGTGACTGGTGTAGATTATAAACTAGACAACTTGTTCCTGTTTAAACATTTTAGTTCAGAGAATCAACATATTGTACAGTAGTATTGTTAAACTAAACCAGAACATTATCAGCATGTTTCTTTCAGGGCATGTAGGGTCGACAGATAGATAGATAGATAGATAGATATAGATATAGATATAGATAGATAGATAGATAGATAGATAGTCACAAGATTATGTTAGAGGGCATGCTGGTTGTCTCTGGGGGTTGAGATGACATGCACATGTCTCACATCTGCTGCAGCAGAGGATGACAGCTGGTATGAGGTACTTACTGTTTGAACATCTTCTCCATGTCTTTGATCTGCTTCCTCGAGAACTCCTTGAACTCGGTGTATGGGTTGAACACCTTCATGCTGGGCTGCTGGTGTCCACCGATGCCGTCGTTCAGCTCGCCGCGCCGCTGCAGCTTGGCTCCCAGCTCTGAATCCGCGCTGGCCGTGGCCGCTTTCTCGTGCGCTCCGTTCTCGTGAGCCCCGTCCAGGGCCACCGGGTCGTGCTCGCCCTCCTCGATCTGCAGCCTGCGGGTCAGCTTCGATGACAGCTCGTCCGTTGCCATTTCGCCTTATACTGAAATCTGACTACTATCTACGGGGAAAATACAGTGGGGAAACACGCAGAATGCTGCAAAGAGCGCAGTCCATATAAAGGTTCAGTGCGTTAAATCCAGATTCTGTTTAGTATTTGGTTAAATACGTTTTCATATGCAAATCATCCGACTTCTAGCGGTGTGAAGGATACGCGGCTGTAAGCCCAGTGATTCAAACGGACAGCGCTCGTGCGTGTGATGACGCCTCCGTGATCGCTGACGGTAAAATAAGCTCGCTCGTGGTGCGCGTGCAGTGAGATGGAAAACCGCTTCACGACGCCACGCCTTTTAAAGAGACACGCCGGACACAAAAGATCACTTATTATACAAAACCCTAGATGTGATACCTTTTGTTATTACAATAATCTCACCGCAGAAGTGTATTGTTTCTAGTTTTTAATATATAGGCTAGCTATTTGGGAAATTACGTCATTGTTTGTCATTAATATATTCATGACCGAAGACATAAGTGAACTTCTTTGTCGACCAGTTCCAAAGATTAGGCTATATTGAGCTGTCAAATAATTACATTAATTTTATAGGCAATTCGGCATGCTTGCGTATTTATTTATGTAATATCGATGAGTAAACTGACCTCAGTTATTAGGCTATATCTTGTGACTAAATGTTGACAACTAATGAAGTATCTAATAGGAATTATCTTTCTTGTTCTGGGTAGACCCACACGGAAGCTATGCCTGCACAGAGCTCAGGAGATTTCCACTGAATTTCCTCAAAACACTTGTCATTCATTAAGTCGTAGTCATTCATCACCTCTTGCATGTATATTGTTTCATTTGTTTATTTTTTTATATTAAATGATCCATATTTCTGCTAATCTGACTATGTTTTCAATAGGTGTACTAGCTTGAGCTGTATAGCACATTTTACTATAAAATTATTTCCACATAATTCATCAGATCTTTCTTTAAAATAAGTGCTGAAAAACACCTAGCAGATTCTGTTTGTGTGCTGTGAGAAACACATTCAGGTATTAAAGATAAAAATAACTTTTTTTTCACAAAAGCGTGAAATTGTGTTCATGTGGGTATACAGGCCTGTGTGCTGCCAGTTATATGTGAAATATCAGCATAAGATCTGAAGCCATCAGCTGAGTGACTAAAGGCTGATTCATGAAACAGGAAGCCACACACACATACACAGAGAGAGAGAGACTTACACACTTTGTCTCTATCTGAGACATCCCCTCTAGTTAGAGGAGGGGCTGCACTCACTACCTGCGTTCTCTCCTTATATGGAGAAAGAAAGAAATGTAGGATTTCACCACTGAGAGAAAGGAGTGTTTAGTTCATCACACCTCTCCAAGGAGCTAATGTGATCTGGCATGCCGTAATACCAGCACACACTGAAAATCTTTCCTTTGTGTTGTGTGCATGGTGAAAAAAAACAGTCTGCATTAAAAGGGCCAGTAGGCTACCCATGGTTCCAGATGGCTGCTTTATAAACACATTTTTTTCCCAGAGAAGTTTCAGATACAATTATGAGAGCCATGATTCACTAGGGACTCCTACTACTCTCTGTGATGGCCTTTTGCCTGGAGGAAATGTGAACTGTAATCATTCTTGCTTTCTGTACTTTTGTGGGATATATCTGGGTCAGACAAAATAAGCAAGCTGAAGAAAGTAACACAAACACACACAAAGGAATCTCCCCATGTCTCTTTCCATCATTCGTCTCGTTTCGTCACCCTGTTGTGTTTTTAAGTATCTCATTTTCTTTCCTTCTCAGACCAATGAGTATAAACAAATAAAAATGTAATAAAAGAAGATTTAAAAAAAGAAGAAGAATAGAAGCATGAAGTCACTTGTCAGTGATGCAAATCCCAAATCCTTTTGTGCCTAAAAATCAAAAAAGGTAATGGTAATTTCTGAGATTCTAGGGCATGGTCTCAATAGAAAGTCATGCCATTTTTTTACTATGACCTAGAAAAACAAGATTTCACAGTATATCTATAAGCTACTGAGGAGTGTGTGTGTGTGTGTGAGAGAGTGTGTGTTGATGTGTGTGTTAGACAGATTGTACAGCCCTCAGCTATGTAGAGCTAGCAGTAAATGAGCATCATGCTAGTCTATATGCGAGCTGTTTGAATCTGGTCCTTGGCCAATCTCATAACAGGCCATTTTCTTTGTGTGAGAATAGAAACAGGAAACCATGCAGAGAAAGAAAGGGTGACTTTGAATGAAAAGGGAAATATAGGCAATTATCCAACACAAATATGTATTGTTATAAAGTATATTATAATATTACGTTTAAGTAGCGCAGATTATGTAAAATCTCTTAGTCAAATATCTATATTTTAAATGTAAAATATATTTTTTAAATTTTAAATGTATTGCCTAAATCATACAACAACAACAAAAAACTTTTCTAGCATTACAAAATGTGTCAGACTCCAATTCATGGCAACATTAAAAATTTGCATTCTCGGCGTTTCCACAAGGGGTGCTATAGCTGTCTCATTAGTTTTTATTTGGTCGACATGAATCAGTTTCGACAGGAAATGAAGTTAATATTAGGATGGTTTTTAATTGTTTAAACAAAATAATAATGTGCATGGATGATTTATAATAAACACTGCAATATTACAAAAAAAGAGAAGAATTGTCAGTGTTTTGATTTGACTGCTTTCATTGTGACATTTTGCTATATAAGGACATAAATTACAATTTTAATGAAATATTATAACATTAAAACTGACTAAATCAGCAAATTAAGTGAAATCTCTTGTTGTCTTTGGCTCAATCGCAGTACCCAAGCCTGATTCAGTGTGCGCTTATGGTGATGTGGTCAGAGTGAAGCCGTGTTTGTGTCCATGAGCTTCAGTGAGCTGGGTGCTCTCCAGCGTTTGAGACAGACTGTCCAACTCAAGCCAATTTTACAGTTCTGTTGCTCTTTCTATTCAATCTCCTTATTCAACACTCTTAAAAATAAAGGTGCTTCAAAAGGTTCTTCACAGCGATACCATAGAAGAACCATTTTTGGTTCCACAAAGAGCCATTCAGTCAATGGTTCTTTAAAGAACCATCTCTTATACCTTTTTATAATCTGAAGAACCTTCCTTCGCCACAAAGAGCCTTTTGTGAAACAGAAAGGTTCTTCAGATGTTAAAGGTTCTTTATGGAACCATTTAGACAAAACGGTTCTCCTATGGCATTGTGAAGCACCTTAATTTTTAAGAGTGAAAGCCTCCAGCTCATGCTCTTTCCTTCATTGTCTCCTGCCAGGTCTTTGTTTGCCCCACTGAGGCCATTATAAGCACACACAGACACACACTCAGACGGCAATAGGAAATTCAGATTTGAAGTCTATAATAAAACAACTTCAAGGGAACATGAACAGAGGTTTAGGAACCATTTACAGCAGTGGGTTAACGAGTTTTAAAACACATTAGGCTAAAAAAACGAATTAGCTGGTGCAGCTGGGGTTGTAAAATCTATTAATGACTCAGTGTGATGTTTGGCTATAAAACTTGTGGCAGTCAAGTCTGTGGTGGATGGCATTAGTGCAGGCCTGGAGTCAAACGCATACATGCACATACACACAAAGAGGATAATGGCAGTACTAGTCCCAAAGGAGAATACACTGACAGATCTGTGAGTACAGTACAATGAGGATCAGCTGTTTTATGAATTATTAATGAACACAAGCCCAGTGAGACCACTGATTCAAGCTGCTGCCAGTAAAGTGAGAAAATGAGCCACTTTCTGATGAAACTCACTTTACTCATTCAGAAACAATAGTCAGGACTGAACAGATCTGGTCTGACAGCTGTCTGTGTGAGTTTCAAAACACCAGTACAACAGAATGTAACTACAGTTATAGGAAAGCCTAAAGTTAACCCTATATTGTCAAAAGTTTATTTAAAAATTCAGTGCATTCAAGCAATTTATTACATGGCTCTATGGAAAAACTCATTTCTGATTGGTCAACCATTAGACCACTGTATATCAGTAGCCTATGCTCATCCGATATAAATAAAACCAGTACTTCTGTCAGGACCACTATCGTCAAAGATGATTGACAATTAGCGTACAGTTTGGATTGGCGGTATGGTTCTGTTCTGGGCAAGAACTCCCTGCGCATCCATGCAGCCTAGCCTGGATGAGAGCACGGAGAGCCCCCCCCAGGGTAAACAGAACCAACATAAATGTATTGCTGACTGACAGAGGAGGAGCTGGGGATGGAGGAGGGTAATTAGCTATTGAGCAATGCGAAAACTGCTGATAATACTGAGGGACCTTATATATGAATGCTTAGATATAGGTGTCGTATTCCTATAGGTAGATGCGGATCAGCTGAGAGTCAGCTGATGCGAGCTTGACTAATGTGACCTGCCAGAACTAACGCTACGTTTGATTTTCATGTATCACACCGCGGATTCGCGTTCTGTTGTTGTTTCATACAAACGCAACTGTGGTACCATCTTGCACATTATTTATCGACTTTAATCATGAAAATGGTCACACAGGTCTTAAGTATTAGTGTAGCAAATATTGCTGGTCTTGTTGATGATTGTTTTGCACTGTTTGCACATGGACTTTTTTTAGTGCAAGCTTTAAGGTAGGCCTAATATACAAGTAAAAATATAAATATTAATCATACTAATAATAACTTTAAAATATTAATAAATCCTCCTGGACTATATGTTATCTCTTACTCCAGGGTTTCCCAAATTGGGGTTTGTGAATTGATGAACAGCGAATGAAATCATAGAAATGTAAAAATTGAATGAATTATTTACAAATAAATACATAAATCTAAATAAAACACACTTAGATATTTATTTATTTATTTGATTACCTGCATGTCATGTGACCATTAACTGAAATCCGAAAAATGAGAACTGTGAACATGCAAATGTGTCATGAATTATTGAAACATTAACCTAAAATATCCGGAGGTACTTTAAATTATAGGCTATGTCCAGAGGGTTAGCTGAGGTTTGAGAATGCCTTACTCTGCATGTGTGTTCCCTGCAGATCAAATCCGTGACCTTACCAGCTGAGCTACAGGAATGGCAAGTTCAGTTCATTTGTTTGTTAGAACAATACACTGAATTATAAGAATACTTGAATGACCTGAATTACAAGAAGACACACCCGTCTTCTTCCACATCTGGAACCAATACCTCACCAAAACGGAATGACACTGCACTGGCTTTGAGACGCGTCAAGGACAGATACTGGGTGGACCACGACTGCATCTGTTCAGTGTGAGGTAAGGCAGATAG